TTTAGCATTACATCACTTGCTCACCAATGGATCCTCTGCAGTGAATGAATGGGTGCCGTCAGAATGAGAGTCCAAACAGCTGATAAAAACCTCACAGTGATCCACAATAATCCACAAATAGCCTAATCCACATAACTCCAAATCAAATCCATAATGAAGGCATTTTAACTTTAAACTGTAGCTTCCTCCAGTGAAATGTCCATCCCGTTGTTCTCTCACATTGTTTTCACTTGTAAACAGTGCTTGTTCTGTGCATATTTCTCTCCTGATTCAGACGTGCCAACTTTTTCACTGGAGAAAGCATTATTATGGATAGAGGACTTATAATTTTAGTGAAAGCAACTGTCTGAAGTTAAAAACATCATAAAAACAGGATTTATTTATTGCGAACACAGCTTTTTGCTTCACTAGATGTTAATTTATGGATTGGAGTCGTGTGGATTACTTGTGGATTATTGTGATGTTTTTATCAGCTGTTTGGACTCTCATTCTGACGGCACCCATTCACTGCAGAGGATCCCTTGATGAGCAAGTGATGTAATGCTAAACTTCTTCAAATCTGTTCTAATGAAGAAACATACTCATCTACATCTTGGATGGCCTAAGGGTTAGAACATGTTAGCAAATGATCATTTGTGGGTGAACTATTACCTTTAAATGCTTTATACATAATGTTTAAAAAAAGTCAAATGTCAGTTCAGTTTATACACATTTACTGGAAAGACTTGAGTCACAAAAGCCTCTTACCAAGACCTGTGTTATCAATAGACTCTTCCTAAACAATACATACAGGCCACAAACCATTGGCTCCAGGCCACAATAGCAGGCTGGTATTCATACATGCTGTGGGTCGCACAAGTCTTCCCTGATAGTGTGAAGCCTTGCTTTTATAGCCAGCAGTATTTTCCCTGACTCTCATACTCTGTGTGCCATGTGCTCTTCATATGGGATGCCTGCTCACACTAACCACAGGTCACTTTCAAGTGCTGCTGATGAAAGAGAATAATTTTGTGATGCTTCAGTTATTTTGGATGTCTATATCCTGATGCTCTCAAGACATACTAGATATCTGTACAAATTATAGAAACAGTAATATTCAGTCACATTATATTAAGTTTGCTTCATGCCGAAATTATGGAGTTTGAATTTATTGTGAATCCTGTGCAAGAATGCCCTCTAGTGTCAGCTGATATATACATTTGAATTTAGAGTTTATTCAAGGAAAAAGGGAAAGGATTCTGGCTGTATAGTGAAACATTATTACAATTTAAAATAACTGTTTTCTGTTTTAATATATTTTTAACAAATTAATTTATTCCTGTGATGGTAAAGCTGAATTTTCAGCATCATTACTCCAGTCTTCAGTGTCACATGATCCTTCAGAAATCATTCTAATATGCTGATTTGTTAATCAAGCAACATTTATTATCATTAATGTTTAAAACAGTCTCGGAGGGATTGGCATGGTAATGTACATGACAATGTTAATGTATTTGGTCTTGGCGGAATAGCTACACTGCTGCTGCGGCAGAGCAAGTACCGGGACTCGCTACTGCCAATACAGCCACAACATGCTGCTGTATGCATGTAAGAAATACTGCTGCTGCACATATAACACATATGGATAACCCCCATATAGCATACATGAATCATCCCGTAGCAGATCTATACAGGTGGAGCTGGGGAATGTGGAGGGTTTCTGAAGTGCGCTGCCAACTGCTACAGCAAACAAAAGCCAGGTATTTGAATATTGAGCAGCGAGCTCATTGGCTACCGATACAGGAGAGAACCAATCAGCTGCCATGTGACAATGGTGTCACCAGGTCAGATTGAGCTAGACTTATCAGACTGCGCCATCTAGAGTTTCTTGCCAGAACTCTGTATTTGTGATGCTTAATATTTTCATATTAATGATCAATATTAAAATATTGATTCATATTTGTTTGTTCAAAATTAAAAAAAAATAAAAATAAAAATCTTTGTAACATTATAAATGTCTTTACTGTCACTTTGGATCAACTTAATGCATACTTTCTTATTATAAGTCTTAATTTGTTTAAAAAAAGAATAATAATAAAAAATAAAATCTCACTGACCCCAAACTTTTGAATGGTAGTGTATACTTTAAGGGCATTTATTTTGGCATCAAAATGCCAAAAGATCAATGCTAAATTTCTGCATTTTCAAGAAAACTAGACTAGTAAGCTAGTATTTCCAATACAAACTCTGCCTTATAGTGAATAGCACCAAAAAAAATAAATACAAAAGCAGATGAAGAAAATCCCGTTTCTATACATTTATTATTATGACTTTTTTCCAAAGCTGTGCTAAATAAGGGTAAACACAATTTTTTAAAAGAATACGGAGCATGAATGTGACAAAAGTTGGAAAGGCTACAGAAAAAGAATAAAATGAAAGTGGAGAATCACTGCAAAAAGAGACAGAAAATCCTCCATTTGAGTGATAAATATCCTTTAATGCATGACTGAACTATTAAGGGCTCTTTGAGCAGTGAGGAATTGTTGCTGTTTTCAGACTCCTAAAAAAAATTCATAATTATTTATTTGAACATACAGGGGTTTTTAAAAAACCTAAAAATGATGAGCCACAACTGTTTGCCTCAAACCCAAACCAACAAAAGTGACATTTCTCTGGACACACATTACTGTTCGGTATTATTCAGTTTGTCCCCCCCCCCCCCTCAGCTTAAAGATTAATGCTAAAATAACTCATCTGACAGGAAAGCACATATTTTCAAGGCACTCTGGACTGTCACAGAGTCAAAAGAAGCCCAACTAAACTAAAAGCACTAGTGTGACTATAGCCTGCATAAAAACCCATGCAGTCATATCTAAAAACTGAGGAAAAGTCATTAACTGACACGTCGTAAATAGTGTAATGTACAAAAATAGCAATGTATTTGTCTGTAGTACACTAGGTTAACATTAGTGTTTCTTTGGTTAAGTGTTTCAGAAGAGCACAACGAGGTTATAAAAGTTTTCAAATGCATTGAAACGAGAATATCGCTTGATGAAATCATTATCATACCAATAATAACTTAAACAAAAAATGTGCATGCTGTTCTACAAGATGATGTCATGAGGTGGAAGACATGTCTCAAACAGCCAACTTCCTTCTTATCCACTAAACCAAGAGAAAGAACGTTAAATAAAAGAGGAAATGATGAAAACCACCCGATCAACTTTGCACTGACGGCATGAAAAGTGCCAAAGCAAGAGTTCCCTGTGTCTCAGAACTCTTACATAAGAAAACCACAAGATTTTCTGCATTTTGTGGAGCATTCCATGTTCATATTTATAGATAAATGTAAATAATATCTAAATGGCAATGACATACCATTGGAAAATACCATGAAAAAAAATAAATACCACCGATGACTACAGATCATCAATACCTTTAGCGACACGATTCTGACCAAACATACACTCATCTTAAGGGAGGGGGGGAAAAACAGCATCCACCATGTTTTTCGCTTGAGGAACAGCCTAGAGGTCACTATCTGATATGGTAAAGTGCAAGAAAAATCAAAAAGAAGAACTGAAAATAATTAATCATGAGACATAATTTCTTCAAATAATTGCGCAAACCCCTTTGCAATACTGATATGCCCTCAAATGTCTTAAATTTAGTGGCGTTTGAGAGAACTTACTGGAAAAGTCCAATTAAAAATATGGATGAATGAAGAGTTGGAGTGTGTCCAAGGTGGTGGAATCAAAGCAAAACACACAAGTAAAACTAATAAGCTAATTTTCCCTGAATGCCTTTTCTCTTTCTCAACGTAAAATCCACATATGGCATAGTATTATTCTTTGGTACGATTCTCCCATCCTCATTTTGAGGGTTTGCGACCTCAAATACAGAATTGAAGTCGGTCTCTTGGGATGAACTCAAATGTCAAATCAGATCTATGGCTCTTCTTTGGGTTGGTGGTGTTGGCACAGGAAGAGAGAAGAGAGCACACGATATGAGAGGCCATGTAAACCTCAGCAGACGGCAATGCGGTGCAGCGAAGCTCTGGCACTCTGCACCACCCAAACCTCACCTCAAAAGAGACTTTTCCCAGAGTCCTGTCTGCTTTGAAACCCCGTGAGGTTCGGAGTCTGACAGTGAAGAACTCTGACCTCAAGAGAGCCGTCGTAAGACTCTGATCCACAATACTGGTACTGACCTACAGATAATCAAAGTGAAGATTACAGTCCCAACAGTCATGCAGTCGTCTCCCAGAGTTCTTAGGGGAGAGAAAGAGAGGCTAGTGTTGACTCAAGGTTGCCAGTCTTTGCCTCGATGATCAGGAATGTGCTTATAGCGACACCTATCTCCAAAATGACAGCCGGTGGTCCTCCAGAAGTAACACTCATCACTGTTGATAGGACCTCTGCGTCTTGGCCTGGAATAACCACAAATTTGTTTGGACATCTGTGTTTCTTTCAAAGAATATTTGTTTGAACATACAGTTTTTTATGGAAGACAATAATTGCTGTTAATAACATCAAAAGCAAGCGCCATTACTTTTCTCAAACAGCAAAGAAACTGAATTACCCAGCAGCCCCTGCAGGTTGTGGAATGGCAGGTGTTGGCAGGACTCTCTGAATCCGTCGATCTGGATATCGAACCACTAGTCGGGTATTCTCAATAAAATGTCCCTGAGAAGAGTGTGTGTGTGTGTGTATGTATGTATGTATGTATGTATGTATGTATGTATATAAAACTTGATTAATAATGAGAACAACAACAAAAATAAATAATAATAATAATAATAATAATAATAAACTATCATCAGGGTTTCACTCACATTGAGTTTCTCGATCGCATGGAAGGCCATGTTGGCATTTTTAAAGTTAACAAATGCACAGAAACGTTCGTGCAGAACCCGAATGCTGTCGATTTCTCCATAACTGGCAAACATCAACAAAAATGAAAACACAAGTCATTGGAAATCATTTTATATCTAAAATATTGTAAAAGGTCAATGTGGCATCAAATCTCACATTTTGAAGAGGTCCCGCAGATGTTTCTCTGTCAGTTCTGTGGTCACGTTTCCAACCCACAAGGAATTGCAAGGACTTGTGAAAGAGAGCGAGAAAAAGACAGAAAGGGAAATATAGATACAGAATTAAAGGGAGAGAGCAACATTTAAAAAAAATAAAGAAATAAATGCAAAGATCTAAACTGAAATCAGTTAAATGATGGCTTACCCTGGTTGGAGGAAAGCACAGTCCTGATTTGAAGCTGTAAAATAAATATTTTTATATTACATCACAAATTATGCAGAGTTTAGATGTTTATGTTGAAAGAGAAAGATCATGTGACACTGAAGACTGGAGTAATGGTGCTGAAAATTCAGCTTTGCATCAGGAATAAGGTCAATTTTAAAATATATTAAATCAGAAATCAGTTCTTTAAAATAATATTCCAAAAATATTTCTGTGTTTACTGTTTTGTGTGTTACAAAATAACTTGTACTGTAATTTAAGATTCTGGTCAAAAATAACTTCCAATTCTCAATATCTCTAATGTACATCAGTGTATCAATAGCACCCTCATGTGGCTCAATAAAAAATTTGGGAAAATGAAAAAGAGCCCTTACTCTTCGCTGCAACAACAGCCTGCACGGTGTTGTATTTTTCCAGCAACTGAATACTCAGTTCCTCATCATATCCAAGATCCTAACAATGAGAACACCTTTTTTCATTACAGGCCTCAAATTATATTTCTGTGTATACGTTTCAATGGATTGCAATACTTGTGCTTCCAAAAATGTATTTTTAAAGCTGACCCCATTCTAAACTGAAACACTTCACTCAAACATAAAAATTATTCTCATCCTATTGTTATTCGAAACTTGTTTGACTTTCTTCTGTGGAACAAAAAAGGAGATGCTTGGCATGTCTGAGCTTTGTTATGTAGCTCCAGAAATATGGTCATATGGACTCAATTGTTGAAATGTCATTTTTTTCCCACTGATCTTTCTTTGAAAAGAAAACAACAAAGATTTGGAACAAAAAAAGAAAAAGAAAATGATTTATGAGTAATTATCTTGGGGTTTTTGCTTTCTCATGACAATGACATGTACCCACCTTGCAGAGGCTTTGTACAAAGCAACTTTGGGCATTCTGAACGTACAAATTTTATGAGCACGTTCTATAGTTTGTTCTCTGGTACTCAATCCCATAACCTTGTCTTTGCTAACTTTGTCCATGCTCTACTAATTTAACTACAATGAGAAATCCTGTCCTTACCATAAGTTGTTGCACCTTACAGTACAAGAGGTCATTGACCGCTTCTTCGCAGCCTTGGTCCAGTTTTAGCACCTGTTCCATGGCTTTCTCAGCTTCACAGTACCTCTATTACAAACAAACCCACATACAGATTCACTGATACACAGCTATATGCAGATTTCCTCTATATACAGGAAGAAAAACCAATAAATATGCCACTGGGTCGTACCTTAAGTCCCATTAGTGCACTTCCCCTACGGTAATAGCCTTTGGGCCAATCGGGAGCCATTTGGATGGACTTCTCAGCATCTGTGAGGGCCAGAGGATACTGCTCCAGACAACAGTAGCAGTAGGAGCGATTTCCAAAAAACCTGTTATCCAAAAATCAAAGTCCATTAATGAAATGACAAAAAAAAAAAAAGAAAGGTAGTATATGTGGAAATGATTTCATGCATATCAGTGCATCACCTGTAGTCTTTCGGGTCACATTTGATGGCCTCTGTAAACAGACTAAGAGCTTGCGTGTACTGACCCTCTTGAACAAATCGAATCCCTTTTTCTGGAGTGAAGAGAAAGGAGGACTCATATGGACACACACACACACCCACACACACCTTTCTCTAATTGACTAGAAATGTATCAGAAATAAATAAATTTTACACACCTACTAGTAAGGCACTTCTGTTTGTTTTAGCATCTGATAAGCCAATGACCTGTTAAAAAAGCACATTAATTTATATTACAGGAATATTACAGGTTATTTTTAACAATGTCTCTGCATCACTTCTGAGGCATGCTGTATTCAACATTATAATTAGCACATCTCAAATCATAGTGCACTACCATAGTACACTGCTTTTGAAAGAAGTTTCTTATGCTCACCAAGGCTGCATTTATTTGATCAAAGATACTGGGAACACATTATTATTGTTAAATATTATTCCAATTTAAAGCAACTGTTTCCTGTTTTTTATTTTAAAATGTAATTTATTCCTGTGACCAAAGCTGAATTTTCAGCATCATTACTCCAGTCTTCAGGGTCACATGATCCTTCAGAAATCATTCTAATATGCTGATCATATGCTACTCAAGAAACACTCCTTATCAATGTTGAAAACAGTCGTGCTGCTAAATATTTTTGTGGAAACCATGATCATTTTTTCAGAAAATATACATCTTTTGTAATATTATAAATGTCTTTACTGTCAGTTTTGATCAATTTAATGCATCCTTGATTATATTAATTAAAAAAAATTAACTTACTAGCTAAATTTATGAATGGTACACTAAACATAGCCAAGAACCAAACAAACTCAAATATAAAGACATACAGCATTAAAGGTAGCAGTAGGAGCGATTTCCAAAAAACCTGTTATCCAAAAATCAAAGTCCATTAATGAAATGACAAAAAAAAAAAAAGAAAGGTAGTATATGTGGAAATGATTTCATGCATATCAGTGCATCACCTGTAGTCTTTCGGGTCACATTTGATGGCCTCTGTAAACAGACTAAGAGCTTGCGTGTACTGACCCTCTTGAACAAATCGAATCCCTTTTTCTGGAGTGAAGAGAAAGGAGGACTCATATGGAAGACAAATAATGACAAATGGTCTTTGAAACAAAAAAGCATGTTGAATTGCACTGAAAAAATAATGCATTGCATTAACAGTGCTTGCATTTTAAAGCCTTGTATTTTCAGGGCTTGCATTTTTAGGGGCTGAAATTCAACATAGTTGTATATTTCATATGCTACTCAAGAAACACTCCTTATCAATGTTGAAAACAGTCGTGCTGCTAAATATTTTTGTGGAAACCATGATCATTTTTTCAGAAAATATACATCTTTTGTAATATTATAAATGTCTTTACTGTCAGTTTTGATCAATTTAATGCATCCTTGATTATATTAATTAAAAAAAATTAACTTACTAGCTAAATTTATGAATGGTACACTAAACATAGCCAAGAACCAAACAAACTCAAATATAAAGACATACAGCATTAAAGTAATATTTCACAACATAAAATGACAGCTGCTGTGTAGGATTTACAGGAACAAGGCATGTGCAAAAATAATACAGTATTTTTTAAATCAACAAAACATATTTAAAAAAAAACAGACTATTTTAAACTCAACATGTTTTAAAAGCACAACACAATTGGGCTTGGTGGATAAAGGCGAAATCTATAGTACAGTGAAACATGCAAATTCAACATAGTTGTACATTCATGCTGTGAATATTTCAATTCAATAATCCATATTCACCTTCCAGAGTTCACTTCTGAAATATTCAATCTGTTTAAAAATACGATAGAGTCATATTATATTTGACAGGCAATTTTCGGTCCATTTTATTTCACTTTACAAATTCGCTTCAACATGCTTTTTTGTTTCAAAGATATTTGTCATTGTTTTTCTTCCATAAATGTACAAGTAAAGAATAACAGGACAAAGTGTTTGACTATGATATTCCTGTTTAAAAACTGTGTGAAACTTAAATGTGAAAGCATGTGATTTACTGTGAAGCTTTTGAAATATTGTTAAAGAACTGTTTACCTAAAAAATTAAAACTAGGTCATTAACTCACGTTCACATTTTTCCAAACCTATTTCTTTTTGAAGAACATACTGGAATATATTTTTCAAATAATGAAAGTGAATGTGGACTAGACTTCTGAAGACAATTTATGAAATTTAATTTGTTTTCCAAAGAATTCATTGAAGTTTGGAACAACAATGACCATTTTAAATTTTAGGGTGAACCCCACCCATCAGTTTTGATCAATTTAATGCATCCTTGATTATATTAATTAAAAAAAATTAACTTACTAGCTAAATTTATGAATGGTACACTAAACATAGCCAAGAACCAAACAAACTCAAATATAAAGACATACAGCATTAAAGTAATATTTCACAACATAAAATGACAGCTGCTGTGTAGGATTTACAGGAACAAGGCATGTGCAAAAATAATACAGTATTTTTTAAATCAACAAAACATATTTAAAAAAAAACAGACTATTTTAAACTCAACATGTTTTAAAAGCACAACACAATTGGGCTTGGTGGATAAAGGCGAAATCTATAGTACAGTGAAACATGCAATCTATCAGGACAGTGGCAGTACTACCAGCTGAAAAAATAAAAGCTGTCTTATAAGCCCAAAGTGACAGCACCTACAGATTTATAAACTATGTTAATACCCAAGAATCCCAATGCCCAGGTTCAGCATTTATGGGCTCCACCTTTACGACACAAGAGTATGGGCAGCTGACAGATGGCAACAAAACACAGGACACTAAATAAACAAATTACCAAAACTCACTTCTCCTGTTCTGCTCTCATTTTCCTTGTTCTCTTTCGACTTGTGAGCTCCTTTACTTTTAGCTTTGGGTCGAATATGACTGACGGCATTGGCAACAAAAGCACTATTCACATCCCACCCTGGGTCCTAAAATGTAGAAACCGTGTCAAAGAAAGTAATTTAAACAATTAAACATTCAAATAGCAAACTCTTGACGTCCATCAGCGGGAACAGTATGGTTGGCTCAGTTTTTGTACCTCCTCACTAGACCGGGCCGTCGGTTGCCGGTTGCTTTTGTTCCCTGATGCCAGTGGAGGTCCAGGAGAACTTTTACTTGAAGGAGCAACTGGCTTCTCTTCCACCTTTGAAAGGCCTATACCTTCCACCTCCTCTGGCTCAGACTCCTCAGACTCGTCAAGTTCAGAATCAGCTCCGGCATTCTCATCCCCCTGAATGAAAAAAAAAAATCACATTTTAATAATACTTGTTTGTTTTTATTGCTATACCAGCATCTATGGCTATTTTCAGGGAAAGATCAATGTATTTTAAAATAAATAAATAGTATTAACATACAGTAGTAATGAAAAACAACACTTGACAACCAACTCCATAACCAACAAGAACTTTGAGAGTAAAGACTTTTACAGTTACAAATAAATATTTCAAATAAATGCTGAACTTTCTATTTATCAAACAATCATGAACAATTAGGGTTTCCACATAAAGCTACACTTAAGTTTTTTTTTTTTTTTTTTAGCACCAAATCAGCATATTAGAACGATTTCTGAAGGATCATGTGACTTTGAAGACTGGAGTAATGATGCTGAAAATTCAGCTTTGCATCAAGGAATAAATTACATTTTAGAAGATATTAAAATAGAAACCAGTTTTTATTTTAAATGGTAATAATATTAATAATACTGTATTTTTGATTAAATAAATGCTGCCTAGGGTGAACACTAGACATTTTTAGTGACTCCAAACATTTACAGTAGTGTGTGTGCAACAAAAACGTAACTATTTTTAACATGCTTTCTTAAATACCCAATAATCATGGTTGAAAGTGAGATTTCTGAATGTGATGCACTGATTTGCAAAAAAAAAAAAAGTGCAGAAGAAACATCCTGCGTCTAAGCCGTCTCACACCATCCTCAGCCTGTTTTCACACATGTAGATCGATTGCTTTGTTCCGAAACAGAGATTACAATTATTACAATGTTGCTTTTTATTCTTGGTGCGGTTCGCTTTCACACGGCAAAGTTTCTAAACGGACCAAATTTGTTAATACAAGTCACGCGCGAGTAAACTGTTCTCTCATTGGTCAAAGTTCCACGGTTTATTTTCCGGGATTCCACTGAGCTGTCATGCATGTCATGCGTCAGGATGGAACGATAACAGCTTCGCAGGCTTATTGTTGGGGGGTTTTTTTTAGCTGTCGTTATAATAATTTATCATTTTGAGCAGACATTCACAGGAGGTATTAGCAAAACAACAAAGCTGATGCTTTTCACGGAACTTACGTAATTACCCATCATACCCATCATTATAGCCTGGTTCGTTGGTCCGTTAGATCAGATTGGTTTCTCACTACAACCGAATCGCTCCAGAGTTCGTTTTCAATCGAGCAC